CCCTCCTCTTCTCCCCTTCTCATTCTCCTAGCTCCCTCCCCACTCTTCCCGTGCTCCCAATTTGTTCAGGAGATCTTGTCCCTTTCCCTTCTCCAGGTAACCATGTCTCTCTTAGTGTCCTCCTTGTTTACTAGTTTCTCTGGCATTGTGGATTGTAGGCTGGTAATCCTTTACTCTATGTCTAAAATCAACATATAAGTGAATTCATACATGTTTGTCTTTTTGTGACTGAGTTGCCTCGCTCAGAATGGTTCTTCTAGTTCCATCCATTTGCCTGCGAATTTCAAGAGTCCATGGTTTTTTTCCCCTGAGTCGTACTCCATTGTGTAAATGTACCACATTTTCTCTATCCATTCTTCAGTTGAGGGGCATCTAGGTTGCTTCCAGGTTCTGGCTATTACAAATAATGCTGCTATGAACATAGTTGAACAGATGTCCTTGTATGAATGTGCTTCTTTTGGGTATACCATCTTACTCCAGTCAGAATGGCTAAAATAAAAAACACCAATGATGACTTACTCTGGAGAGGATGTGGAGAAAGGGTAACTCTTCTCCACTGCTGGTGGGAGTGCAAACTTGTACAGCCACTTTGGAAATCAGTATGGCGATTCCTCAGGAAAATGGGAATCAGTCTACCACAAGATCCAGCAATTCAATGAACATTCTTATAATCATTATTTTAAATTCTTTGGGATTTCATTTAATTTACATTCTTTGGAACCAATTACTGTAACTTGGTGATTTTGGGAGGAGTCATGTTGTGATTTTTTTTAATGTTTCTTTTGTTACCGTAATTGGATTTGAGCATCTGGGATTAGGTCATTGGTTGTTTTTTTAATTACCTGTATTCTTCAGTTCAGGAACTAAGTTGTAGTTGGATTTATTTGTTATTCCTCTAATTCTAGACTGGTCCAGTGGCTAAACTCTCAACTCACATGCTCAAGGGTCCAGGCACAATCTCTATTACTACTCTAAGAATAGAATTCTAACTGCAGAATCAACCCACAACTGATATAGGCCTGCTATGAAAATACAGTAAGATAAATTAAACGCAATCACTTTTCAATTACAATAACTTCAGGACAATAAAGGATCAAAGAAAACATAGTGTGATTTAGGTATTAGCTATTCAGAGTAGGAATGGAAGGAAATATTAAGTTAAGTAAAGTAACAAGTAAAATTAGCCATTATCATTAAAACAACAAGGAAAAATGGGGAGAAAAGTGAATGGAATCAATAAAGAAGGGACGAAACGGAGTAGTTCCAGTTAAAGGTGGCATGGAAACAGAAAAGAATTAAAAAAAAAAAGTGTAACTACTCAACCTAAAGCAACTGAATCACCAGAAGGCCAAGGCATAGAAAGCGCCTCTGCCCTTTGGGAGAATAATGTGGTACAAAGTGGTCTACAAAATTAAATATAGCTATTAAGTAGCATCTGTCCCTATGTGGTCACTTGCCTCGGTGTGTTCAGGGACAGACTGTGTTTATGTGGCCATGCACATGTACAGGGTGCAGAGTACTCACTGTGGCCCCAGGTACAGGGTGTCTATGCCATCACTCTCCAGGGTGAACCATATCTCTCTGCATTGCACTTCTTTGACAATTTGGCTTGGTATCCTCTCATAACAGCTGGACGTTTGTGGTGTTAGGTTTCCTGTGTTGATCTTTGTATCATTGGTCCCACATCCAGAAGGTGTGGTTTTAGGCCAGGCAGGAGTACAATAGTGAGAGGAGTCTTAAGGTCTCTGGGTACTAGAAAAGGGCTACTGGTGAGCTTTCCATTGGCAAACACTTTTATCCCTGTTCTGCAGAGCTAGTAAGTCTCACTCTTGTCTATGTTTCAGACCACATTTCAACACTGTAACTAGAGGTATTCTGCATGCTAGAACCCAGAGTAGTCCCCTGATACTGCCCCTAGATTCTCAGAATGGGCTATCCAGGGCGGAGCTTTGCCTCCACAACCACCCAGCTGCTGCTCCCATCAATCCCCAAGAGGAGATCCCAGCACTCTATGGTACATGATACAGTATTTAGACCCAGTATTTAGACCCAGTACATGATACAGTATTTACCTGTCTGATTGGACTGCAGATCTGCTCAGTCATTTTGCCATTGTTGTATTTGAGTCTCTGGGTTTTGTTTTGCTTGTTTTTTTTGTTGTTGTTGTTGTTTTTTTTTTTAGACTGTTACTTTCCTCCACGCCCCCCATGTGAGTGTGTGTGTGTGTGTGTGTGTGTGTGTGTGTGTGTGTGTGCCAGTGACCAAACACATACTTGTGGAGGCCAGAGGACAAGCTCATCTGTGATCCCTTGGTTGCCATCTGCCTTATTTTTTATAACAGTGTCTCTCAGTGGCCTGGAATTCACCAGGTAGAGGAGGCTGGCCAAGTGGTGGGCCCCAGGCATCTGTCTGTCTCCACTTCCCAGGTTTTGGGACTACAACTACTGGCCACAACACCCAGTGTTTTTGTAACATTGATTTGGGGGACTTGAACTCAGGACCTCATATTTGCAAGGCAAATACTTTACCAACTGAGGTGTCTTTCCAGCCCCTTTTCAGAGTTCTTAGAAAACAAAAACTTTCCATTGCCGACAGCTAAATTTTCATCATGACATTAGACAATGAAGGGCTTTTGACAAAACTAATTTGCCCTTCTAGCTCTTGGTGCCATTTTGTTGATTTTTTTAACTTGCTGGTTGAGTTGGTTTAATTTTTGAGATGGTTATTCACTATGTAGCCCAGGGTGATCTTGAACTTGTGGTCTCTAGAGTGCTAGGCTATACCACTTTCTAAATGATGCAATGTGCAGCATTGTTTTTTGGTTCTAATGAGATTGCAGTGGCTTTGCAGTATGCTTTATAACCTTAGAATTATACCTTTTCCATTGTTATTCTTACAGATACAACCCAGCCAACTGCCTGGAGAACAAGACCCAGTCTCACATGTGTACCTAGAAGTCGTGTCAAAGCATTTCTCAAAATCGAAAAAAATGCCACTATCCTATGACAATGGATTTCTCTTCATACATACAGACAAACCTGTTTACACTCCAGACCAGTCAGGTAGAATATGAAGCACTTCTTTGTGGGGAAACTGATATAGACCTTTTTGACACATGGAACTGAGGGGAAAATGGTTTCCACCCTGAAAAAAAAAATCAAAACCAGTCCTCAGTTCCTAATTACTTTTATATTTTCAAATAGCATTTGATTTTTAATTTATAGGAAAATTTCTAAATAGATTGAAAAATCAAAAATTACATTTGCCACATTATCAGTTATTTCTAAGAAGATAAAAAGCTCCCTAAACATTGTAAAATGTTGTTAGAACTTACACAGTAAACAAATAAACTTTATTTCAAATAAAATTTTGACAAAGGAGAAATATTTATTATAGAGCCATGTTCATAACAAGTGCAGAGTCAGGACTGAGTTCTCAAACTGGGAAACAACACCCAGCATGGGGAGACTGGATGTTTCAGACGAGAAGAACCGCATCCTGGGAATGGGTGGGTAGTAGTATCAACGGTCATTTGTCTTCGAAAGTGTCTGCTAAGACACTTCCCTCTCCTGTTACAGAGGGAAGGGGGCCTAGTCTGCCCAGCCCCTGTGGTTAAAGAAAGCCCCGATTTACACAGGAGCCTAGGAATGCTGCTCCTCCTGTCAGTCTTCAATTCTTTCATCTCTCCTCCTCTCCATCATTGACTGTAAACCACATCAGAGATGATCTGTAAGCGACCCAGATGTGGAAAAGGGAGGAGATGAGATGTCATAACTAACACTGATGGAGAGGACAGAGCAAGGGAGACAGGATCGTCCGGCTTCATTCAAAAGCATTGCATTATGCTAACGGTGGTCATTGATGATGTCGATGGTGACGTGGATAGAGCACCTGCTATGACTGACTCAGGCAGGAAAAGCCTACAGAGGGCGAGGATGCCGCTTGGAGAATAGTGTAAGCTCATGACCGAAAGAAGATGTCTGGGGGACGTGGGACTGGAGAGATGGTTCAGCACTGGCACCCGTTTATTGGCTCAACTGTCTGTAACTCTGGTCTCAAGGGATCTGTCACCCTCTTCTGGCCTCTGCAGACATAGCATGTACACAGTACACAAACATATTCAGGCAAAACACCCATTCACCTAAAATTCTTTTAAGGCTGAAAAAAAAAAAAGATTTTTTTCAAAGAAAAGTTAGAGTCTCTACCCATAAATATTGGACCTTTTTCACCTCCATCCTACCTAAAAACAAGTATAAACTCCCCTTGCCCTCCTATCATAGAGGATGCTTCATGGAACGGGTACCATTCGCAATCCCTACCACTTCAGGTCATCAGACTTGTATAGCAAGTATGTAGTCTACATCCCAGAGTCCAGGACCATTCTTGGTTGTTAGGGCTTACCTTAGGAATGGCCTTATTTTTCCTATCAGGACTTGACTGATAAGACACAGTTTTTTCACTTAATTTAGTCATAAATGAAAATGAAACAACTTCTTATAAATGTTTCTCCTTTGGTAACAGATAGCAAAATAGAGTAGTTTATGTAGTCTGGAGCCATACTTACTAGGTCAAACAAGCATTGGCTATTATTGACTCTGTGATGATGTGTGCATTACTCTGGAACCATATTAACTGGGGTCAAATCCAAGAATTGGCTGTTTATTGACTATGTGATCATGTGTGAATTACTCTCACAGCTCCATTCCTCATCTGATTTTAAAAAAAGATAATAATACAATTTGCCAGATATTGATGTAGGTGGGCCCTGCCCATGATGGGGGTTGGGGGAGGTGATATCCCTGGGCAAATGGCCATGATTTTATAAAAGCAGGGTAGCTAGCCAGGAAGAGCAAGCCTGTAAGCAGCACTCCTCCATGGCATCTGCTTCAGTTCCTGCCCCCAGGTTCCTGCCTTGAGTTCCTGCCCTGACTTCCCTTGGTGAGGGAGTGTGACCTGAGAGTTGTAAGCTGAAATAAACCCTTTCCTACCAAGTTGCTGTTGGTCATAGTATTTTATCCCTGTTAGATTTTGTTTTGTTCTTTGATTTTTCAAGACAGGGTTTCTCTGTGGCTTTGGAGACTGTCCAGGAACTAGCTCTTGTAGACCAAGCTGGTCTCAAACTCACGGAGATCTGCCTGCCTCTGCCTCCTGAGTGCTGGGCTTAAAGGTGTGCGCCACCAATGCCCAGCTGCCTCCCTGTTCGATTTTGTAAGTAGAAGAATACATACTGTCTGAATCAAACTTCCAATTTTCCATCAACTCAAAAACAACATCTGATACTCTAATCATATGGTAGCTACTTGATAATTACAAATACAATTATTTATACTATGGATGTGTTCCCAAAGGAACACATATATATAATAAATCCCTGGTTAGTCTCTTTCTTTTTAATATATATTTTCTTTTGAGAGAAACAGAGAGATAGAGAGATTGAATATATATTTTCATTTATGGATTGTGTATGTAGCCTTTTAAATGAGAATGTAATCCCAGCTATTCAAGAGGCTGAGGCAGGAGGATTATGAGTTCACAGTCAGACTAGGCTTCAGAGTGAGTTCAAGATCAGGATAATCAATTTAATGAAACCCTGACTAAAAATAAAAAGTGAAAGAAAAGTAAATAAATAAATGAAAGACTGAAACCTGCTTGTCTGTCAGAGTTTCTGATGATAATTGCATGTTTTTGCAGTAAAAGTTAGAGTCTACTCGCTGAATGACGACTTGAAGCCAGCCAAAAGGGAGACTGTCTTAACTTTCATAGTAAGTATTTATTTCTGTGAAAATCTCTTTAACCTTTTTTATTTTATTGAGGAACCTCCCTCCACAATTCCATCCATACACCACACTAAATCATTTGCTGTAACAAAAATGGTTATAAATGCTTAGCATGGATGTAGCATTATAGATTTATACCTTACGACAGACAGGTAGAAAGCCCAGACAAGCTAACACAGGGAAGGCTACTGATCTAAACCACCGACATCTGTCCTCCACACTACTTCTTTTTAAAGTGTGCCCATCAAGAAATAAATGTCAGGGTGGGAGAGCTGATTCATTGGTTAAAGGACTTGTTGTTCTTGCAAAGGACCCAGGTTCAATTCCCAGCACCCACATGAAGGCTCACCACCTTCTTGGGTACCAGACACACATGTGGTACATGGACAGACATGCAGGCAAAGCATTTATACACCCCAAATAACAAAATAAATCTAAAAAGAATCACTTGGCTGTCTGTGATATATAAAACTTTGATTTGTATGATTTCACTTATTTTTAAGGAGCTTAGATGTTAATATCTAGTATACTAATATGCTCAGCATCTACCATTCACTAAACTGCAAATCATACACAGCAGATGATGTGAAAACAACTTCCACAGTTTTACCTATTCATAAATTTATAATAAATTCCCAGAGACATTTTTGTGAAGAAATAATTACTGCAATTAGTCAACTGCTCACATACCAACAGTGATAGTACTGCAAATTACCTATAGGCATCTTTTTCATTCTCAAACAAATTTAGAATGTACATATAAAGGAGTGTGTATTAGAACAAAACTGTACTAGAATATATAGCGAAATGTGCATTTATGACTCAAGGATTCTGGAGGAAAATGCATTATGATGAGCCTGAGGGGTGATATATTCCTTCTCTGGAGTGGAAAAAGGTAAAGAAAACCCCGAATTAGGTCTTAATGAAAGGACCTGCCATGGGTTCTTTTGAAGTGATGAAGGCTATCCACGTAGGGACGAGCATGAGTTAATTATAGAAGCAGGAAATATTAATGTCTTAATTAGGGTTACTCATGCTGTAATGAAACACCCTGACCAAAAGCAAGTTGGGGAGGAAAGGGTTTATGTGGCTTACACTTCCACATCATAGTCCATCATTGAAGGAAGTCAGGATAGGAATTCAAACAGGGCAGGGGCCTTGTGGCAGGAGCTGATGTAGAGGCCATGAAAGGCTGCTCACTGGCTTCTTCCCCGTGCTCAGCCTGCATTCTTATAGCACCCAGGACCACCAGTCCAGGGACAGCAGTACCCACAATGGGCTAGGCACTTGCACATCAATTAATAATTAAGAAAATGCCCTATGGACTGGCCTACAGCCTGATCTTATGGAGGTGCTTTCTCAATTTTGGCTCCCTCCTCCTGATGACTCTAGCTTGTGTGAAGTTGTCATACAACTAGCCAGCACAATGAGAATAGTGTAGACACAAGCAGAGTGAATAATTGGCTGGCAAAGCCTGGAGAGATGTCAGCTCAAATGTTCTTACATCTACTGGAGAATAAGGGGTGAAGCCACACAGGCTCTCTTTTCCTACCTTGCTGCAAGTGAACTTGAGTGAAACTGAATCTTGGAACCACATGCAAAAGAAATGGATGCCTGTCATCCATGAAAGAGCTTCCTGTGGGTAGAGGGTTGAACCCAGAGCCACAAGGAGGCAGGATGTAGGAAGCAATCTGAGCAAAGGATTTGAGAAAGGTCCCTAGTGAATGATGATGTGACAAAGAACAGCTAGGAAGACACTCAGCTGTAAATCTACGAGGACCATTGTTGTTTAAAGCAGGCTTTTGTCAGTTTTCCAATTTGTAATTCAAGAAAAAATATACCCCAAACTTCCAGCCATGAATCCCAGTCATGGTAAATGGTAAACAATGTTGAGTTTTTAAGTTAAGACTCACCAGGGACTCCATGAAGAGATCTAAGAAAGTCCCATGTCACTGACCCCAATACAATGTCACTCATGGGGAAGATTTATGAGAACTTTCAGTGTGTATAACCATTTAACGGGTTGTGTCAGGGCTAAAAAGTGTGTGCGTGCGTGTGTGTGTGTGTGTGTGTGTGTGTGTGTGTGTGTGTGTGAGAGAGAGAGAGAGAGAGAGAGAGAGAGAGAGAGAGAGAGAAAGACAGAGACAGAGACAGAGACAGACAGACAGAGACAGACAGAGACAGAGATAAGACAGAGAGAAATGTTTTGTTAATCCCAAAGATCAGAGGAGAAAGACCACCAACCCAAATCACTATGGTCATATTAATTAAAGCAAGCAATTAATTGAAACAAGCTTTTTTATTCATGTACCCAGGCTGCCTTCCCCTAAGGTAAGGTTCGAGAGGTAAGCCTTAGATGTGAGGAAGTCAAGGCTGCTACAACTCCAGTATGGAGTTTCCTAATGGGACACTGGGGGTGGGCAAAATAGCTGGGATACAGGAGCAGAGCATAAGCACAACAAATTAGTCCTAACAACCTCCTGAAACAAAGACTTGCAAGGTGGGCATAACACCAGATAGTCATAGGTGGTCATATAATCTTTGAAACAAAGGTAGGGTTGCAAGACAACTTTTTGAAACAAAGACATGATTGCTATTCCTGGAACAGGCAGTTAAGAACCATTCATAGTTAAAGTTACAGATGAGGCATAGCCCAATCCTTGAGAAACAGAGGTTTAATCATAAACAGGAATGAACCTAGTTTGTCTTTACTATAAGATGGCTTTTAAGCCTAAGTTGGAGGTGGGCTAGTTCTTCAGTTTAACAAAAGAAAAGGTTTTTTTTAAACACCAAATGAGGAGTTATTTTGCTTTTGTCCTGTATGTTATTAAAGCCCCTCCCTTTTTTTGAGGCCAAGTCTCACTGTGTAGCCCAGGCTGGCCTTGAGTTCACAATCTTCCTTCCTCTCCCTCCCAAGTGCTGGATGACAAGTGTGGTCTGGTCTGGGCTTGCATTTCTCTTAGTGTACAATGTAGACAATTTGCCTTTCATAATCTTTGCTTGAATTTTGTCCTTCATATTTAACAAAGTCATGGATGCCTATTGGGAAATATTTTTTTTGCAGATCAAAGATTATATCGCAGTCAGAAACTTTAAATGTGGGTTCTGTGCTTTGAAAACTGCTATGGTTTCACTGTGTCTCCCTAAAGTTCATGTGGTAAAGCTAAATTCTCAGATTGGCAATGTGAGAGAGTGGGAGACAGTGGGACATATGTAGGGCGGGGGAGGGGAGCTACCTTTATGAATGAATTCCAGGTGTTCCGGTGGGGCTAAGTCCTCGGGACAGTGGTAGAGCTGAAAGGCCTCCTGCAGAATCTGTTCATTGTGCCACTTCTCATTACTGTGAGCTGAAGGACTCCCCTACCCACCCAATGCCATTTCCACCCTCTTGGACTTACCAACCTCCAAAGCCACAAGCCTAAATAAATCTCCATCCCCTGTAAATTACCCGTCTCGGATATTCTTTTATAGCCACAGAAAGTGAACTAAGGTGCATTGTCTGTTTCTATTCAAAGGATCCAGAAGGATCAGAAGTTGACATCATGGAAGAAAATGATTACACAGGAATTATCTCTTTTCCTGACTTCAAGATTCCATCTAATCCTAAGTAAGTAAAAAATATTTGTTATAAACAAATTTTCTTTAAAAAAAAAAAAAAGCACATCTGGAATGGTTGGGGAAGGAAATATACAATCAAATAGAGCCACCTAGTGTTGGCAGGGCACCACAGATGTGAATGCGGAGACTTTGGTCACGTGAGGCTGCTTCCTGCTAGGGAAAGAAAAATGTTCTCACTGCTGGGGTCCAGCATAGCCCCACCACTTTCCCAGATACCCAGGGGACTGAGGCAGGAGGAGCCCAGAGGCTCATTGTCGGCTGGGAAACAGAGATAGCTGCCTGAAATGTGTACACACACACACACACACAGAGAGAGAGAGAGAGAGAGAGAGAGAGAGAGAGAGAGAGAGAGAGAGAGGCTTTCAGTATGATACATATTTAGCTATCACATATCTGTATATTTGAATCACACTGGAAGTGGGCAGTGCAGTCCATAGATGGAGACTCCATCCCTGTTTCCAATGGAAAGCAGTGTCACATGTATAAGACAAGGGCATCTACAAACAGCTACTACAGAATGTCAACCAACCCTTCCATTGTCCTTTCCCCTGTGCTCTCTAAAAAGGAATTTACAGTAAATGTATTATTCTAAAGTTTTGATATTGAAACTGGGGAGTTTCAGTAGATTGAATAATTTTTAAGTTGTGTCATTTTTTGAAAATACTATGTGCTCTCTAGTACAGAATTGAGCTTCTTGTCGCCACTATCATTTCTCTGACTTTATCGTGTGCCATTTGTCCTATGCAGGGTATACACCACTAGGAGACTCTGCCGACGCATACTTTACCACCTCAGTGCCTTTGCATGTGTCTCCTCTGCTTTACAGGGCGCTTCCCTGTCTCCCAATGCTGAGCTTCACTGCATCTTCAGGGCTAAAGTAGCCTTTGCAATAAAGGATAAAAAATGAGTAACAGGAGTCACAGTCTTCATAGTTAATAGTCCATGTGTATACTAGTGGGTTTGATGAGACCGAGTCACTTAGCGTCATTTGTGAAGTGAAAACATAATGTCAATGTCAAGTATCTCTTCTAATGACTGCTGAGACGAAGCAAGCAGTCCAGGCAAGGGCTGCCCTTGGGGAGTCCAGTCAACTGGAAACTAGAGAGGTGGGAGTGTGGCAGATAGGGTGGTCCTGCCTGTGACCCCAGCCCTCGTAGGAGACTGAGATGGGAATCAACAGGGATTTGAGGCCAGTCTGGGGTGAAGAATGAATTCCAGGCCAACCTGAGGTAGAGTGAGATCCTGCCTCAAAAACAAGCAAACAGCAAAACTCAAAAGAAGGAGAGCGAGAGGAAGGAAGGAAGAGAGAGAGAGAGAGAAAGAGAGAGAGAGAGAGAGAGAGAGAGAAAGAAAGACTGAAATAGGCATCAAAAGACCACACCCAGGGACAGGGTCTTGGCAAAGGCTACTTTAGCCCCGAAGCTGCTGTGAAGGTCCTCATGGGAGACGGGGAGGGACCCTCTAAAGCAGAGGGTTTTGTCATATAGCATAGATTGTAATATCATGTTAGCATCGTTAAACTCAAGGATTAAGTAAATTCTGAAGTTATCATCAACCCTTTAAATCAACATAATGGCTATATTAAGACAAAATACATGGAAAAATAATACAATATGTGAAAATCTAATTAATGAATAATTTATATTATCAAAAGAAAAATATTCAACTATTTCTATTTATTGCTTTAGAATCTCCCACAAAATATTTACTTAGGGTATTCATGTCTGTATTTATTCTAACATCTTTAAGTAGAATTGCCTATGTCAAAATTACAACTATTTAATAACATCTATGCTTTGAAATATTTTGCTTCCACAGGTATGGTGTATGGACAATTAAAGCTAAATATAAGAAGGATTTTTCAACAACTGGCGCTGCATACTTTGAAATTAAAGAATATGGTAAACTCTAATATTACTATATTATCATAACTAAGGGATTTTGCCATACCTCTAGAGTACCGGAAGGAGTGAGCACAGAGAGACTGTTATGATGGCTTGGGTGACTAGTGTTTAGTCCCAGCTTGTGCTGTCAACCTTAAAGAAGTCACCCAATCCTCCTGGATCATGTCCTTCATGACAGAGCTGGGAGACATGTGCTTCCTCAAGGCACTTGCTTATTAAAGTTCTTTCTAGAATTATAGTCTTATGATAAATAATTAGAGAGAAAGTGAATAGAGTCTGATAAGAGTCATTTAGAAACCAAACATAGTCGTATTTTGAGATCAGTCATATTACTGGACCATGATGTGACTTATAAATAGCTTCATTTCCCCCCCCCCCCCTTCTTTTTTTTTTTTTTTTTTTTTTTTTTTTTTTTTTTTTTCTTAAACCAAACTTAGTTTCTGTTGTAGGCGGCACATTCCCTAGTCGGGCAGGGCGGGTTGCAGAGGGTTGGAGGAGGGAGGGGGGGGTACCCCTGCCTCTGTACTGGGATTAAAGGTGTGCACCACCTTGCCGCCATTTCCCCCATTTTCCCCCATTTCTTGTAGTAGTTCACTCTAGTAGCTATGTGCTATGTTATCAGACTGAATGTCTCCACTTGAGGCCGGTCTTTATTTCCTCAGGAGATTCATAGTAAAGGTAGATGCACAGCAGTTAACAAATAGAGGGAAAACGGTGACAAATTCTGCCATAATGAAACTCAACTTTAAAGATTAAGCTCCCAGTAACTTGCTGATCTAAGTGACCTCTTTCACTCCCATACATTGGCTGCATTCTGTTCATATCCAGATTTTGCCAGTATCTCGTTTCCTACAGTTGCCACATCTGTTCATCTCACTAGGCTTATGTGGAAACTGCAGCAGCCTCCTCCAGCAGCGGGTTTCTAAACTGTCTTGCTAATCAAGTCATCTCAAAATGAAAATCATGTTGTTCACACTGAGAAGCGCCTACTAACTAGCTCTTTATTCCTCTTAAAATGAACTCTAAGTCCTTAGCTTGAGCTGGCCCGTTCCTTCTTCAGCCTCATCTTATACCACTCTTGGCCTAATTTTCACAGCCTTGGGAATATTACACATGGTGTTTTCCCATTTCCCTCCTTGGCCAGTTTATTCCATTCATGTCTCATGTCTCAGTCTAACATGATTTACTTGGAGAAGCTTTCTTTTGGTTTATTTCCTAAGTAGCACCTCCACACATCTGTGACATCATTTAATTATCCCTGTTGCTTGATTTCTGTTGTGGTAATAAACTACTACCCTAGTTAGGGCTACTATTGCTGTGATGAAACACCACGGCCAAAGCAACTTGCGGAGAGAAGGCTTTATTTGGCTTGCAATTCTACATCACTATTTATCACTGAAGGAAGCCAGGACAGGAACTCAAACAGGGCAGGAACCTGCAGGTAGGAGCTGACGCAGAGGCCCTGGAAGGGAGCTGCTTACTGGTTTGTTCCTTATGTCTTGCTCAGCCTGCTTTCTTATAGAATCCAAGACCACCAGCCCAGGGATGACACCACCCGAAATGGGCTGTGGCCTCCCACATCAGTCACTAAGAAAATCCTCTACAGGATTTGTGCTCAGCCTGATCTTATAGAGGCATTTTCTCAATTGAGTGTCCCTTCTCTTAGGTGACTACAGCTTGTATCAAGTTGACATAAAACTAGCCAGCACTTCCTGCAGAAGATGGGAACAAATACAAAGACCCACAGCTAGACATTACTCAGACAGAGAGAGGAAGAGAGAGAGAGAGAGAGAGAGAGAGAGAGAGAGAGAGAGGCAGTCAGACAGATAGACCTTGGAGCACACAGCTCTAAACGGGATGTCTCCATCAAATCTCTCCCCTCAGAGCTCAGAGTGTAAGCGCTAGAGGGTATGGAGGACACCAGGAGAACAAGGCCCTTTAAATCAACAGAGAAAAATCTCCTGTGAACTCACAGAGACTGAAGCAGCAAGCACAGGGCCCACACAGGTCTGCACCAGGTCCTCTGTATGTATAGTACAGCTTTCAGATTAGTATTTTTACCGGACTCCTGAGTGTGGGAATGAGTGGGTCTCTGATTTTTGTGGTTTCTTATTTTCCTTCTGTTGGTTTGCCTTGTCCAACTTTGATGTGACAGTTTTTGTTTTATCTTGTCATATTTTATTTTGTTATGTTTTGTTGTTATCTCTTAGAAGCCTGTTCTTTTCTAATGAGAGACAGAAAGGGAGTGGATCTTGATGGGAGGGAAGGAGGAGGAGAGGAACTGAGAGGGAATACTGTAATCAGAAAGGAATCCCTTTTTAATAAAAATGAAAAATCCTAACCAGCAAAGTACTATGGCCAGAAGCATCTTAGAGGAAGGGGGGATTTATTTGGCTTACCTCCCAGGCCACAGTCTGTCACTGAGAGAAGTCAGGACAGGAACCTGAAGCAGAAACCGTGGAGGAAACACTGCTTGCTGGCTGGCTCACAGGCTCATGTTTAGCTAGCTTTTCTATAGAACCCAGGACCACCTGCCCAGGGAATGGCACCTCCCACAATGGGCTAGGACCTCCTACATCAACTAAAAATCAAGACAACCCTCTACAGACATGCTAACACCAGAGATTATGACAGCACTTAAAATACTGGATAGATTTTATCTACTAATGAAAGAGAGATACTAAATAAACCCACATTTTCCTTTGCTATTTTCAATTTAATAAATACTCATTAAAGAAACACTATGTTTAAGACTTACAAGAAAGATAAGAGGAAGAGACAGAGATAGATAGATAGATAGATAGATAGATAGATAGATAGATAGATAGA